TAGGCTGAATAACTCGGACAATGAAACAAACCTGTATAGCTGCAAATAAGAACGGTTATCGTACTAAACGGTCCTTATATCGATTTCTGAGCTGATCTGCTTCACTTTCACACACAGTTGGTGACAATCAACAGGATGCCTATTAGCCAAATGGATCATCTCTTATATACACATATTGACTGAAGTGAAGTTTGTGAAGTCAACATCAATTGATGTCAACTGAAGGACCTAAACAAACTATATCCACAGTGCGAGAGTAGGTGAGCGCTTAGATACGCAAAGAGTTGACAGGGATAAACAAGCCGCGATTTGTTTATTCTGTAAAGGTAAGAACTAAGGCACGCACATGCACACAATCCTGAACAAGAATGAAACCGCGCGCCACAAACCAACTGCACTAAAACGCCATCAATCAGCATGACGGAGTCAGTTACACTGTACGGAACTGACCCTTACAATTGTCTCGATCAAGTGCGTATTGCAATAATATTCTAGTGCTTCACAGTAAATATGAAAAGCTATCGCCTTTAATCCTCTCCCCAAACGGTCAGTTATTTCTTAGGAGATAGCCTGCACTTGCTCGCTGTGACTTGGTGTCAACTATGACCACACAATTTCGGCTTCGTTTAAACTGGTTGCGCTTGTAATTGGATGACCGGAAAAAGTTTCATGTATACCTTTGTACTCGTTGGACTCTAGTATCTCTGGATCAGTTTAATTTATTTCTGTACCACCGAGATGCATGTTTCGATCATTTTCTGGTCAGAATTGGGATTCCGATTAACCATTTACAAAGATCTCTTACAATGTATTGTTTTTCCTATTATTTAATAATCACCACACCTCTTTACTTGCTTGCGCTTCGTAGCTCTGTTCGATGTTGTACTTTGAAGTGTATATGTGTTACCGAAGTCCGAAGGTTCTACCCTAAATGGCAGTGAAGCACGTGCCTGGCTAATGGAACACGTTGTTCAACTGAATCGACACAAAGCTTATCGCTGCTGAGCAAACAGTGCATGTAGCTGAATAACCAAGAAAACGACCGTCGATGGTCTCCGACATTAACCGCTCATTCACATCGAACATAGCAATTCCACCAAATTGTCCAAAGCAACGGAATGACTGTTCATTGATAAAAACGAACAGTGTGATTTCCCGAACGCCCAGGGGCATCACGCGAGCAACCTCAGACCAGTAGGAAATGTTATGAGCAGATCCGATATTTGGTGTCTCCGATTTGTTAGTCTGTGTTTATTTTTTCATCCGGTTTTCCTATTCACGGTGAGGACGACCAAAAAGGTACGACCCAAGTTCATTCCCAATGAAACCTGTATTGTAACACTGAGACCACAGGGGAAGAAGTGCATAGTTGCTTTGCCAGGTCGTGAGAAATCCAGCGTTCTTAATTTTAAAGATGATTGAATGTGTTCAACTGGGCGCAGTACTATCTCCCTATTTCTGTCTGTCTGTCTGTCGTTTCTTCTTCTACCAGTCCCAGAAAACGCCTTATCTGTTTGCCCGTCAGCGTGTGTGTTAGTGTGTGTGTGTGCGTGTGTGTGTGTGTGTGAACGGTGCCACTTAACTGGGTGCGTCATGATGATGCATCATTACGCACGGACTGCAAAAACAGTCGGTGTGGTACAGCAACCCGCGGGGTGCTGTAAAATCAATTGCGAACCCACCGGTTGTCCCATAGTTGGCCCACATGCACGCGTTCGCGGCACGCGCTTTTGTGCAGACAAGGCGTGTGTGTGTGTGTGTGTGTGTGTGTGTGTGCATCACACCGAAGAGAACCGGGGGCACACACACGAGCTGGTCACCACTGTCCTCAGTCGAATATCCCGTTCGGTCGCGAGGACCGCAGAGCGAGAGACCACAGCGGCAGATCACGTTGATAATTACTCACACAGTTACACTCTCTACAAGAGAGATTCGTGCTGTAAAACCAGACATGTGATGTTCTTCTGTCCCAGGCACTGTACATTACTGATGCATCGTGTTTCTTTTCAAAACTGCAATGATCATAAACTTCAGCAATATTCATTTTGTGCCTCGGATCCATTTTCCTCTTTGAAGCTTTCATAAAAGAACTAGGATTTGTTAACACCAGTGGATTGTTTTCAACGGACATCAACATCATCTCATTTGGATAGTTCTTTCAGAACTAGTCCATTGAAGAATCAATACTAACTATATACTTCACACTATATATACTACATACTAACATATATATATATATATATATATCCGGTGTTGCAAATGAGGTTATTGTGATGAAAATACATTTCATGAGCAAAAGTTTATGAATGAAAAGACAAAAGACCGCCGGATAAGTTTAATTGATGAACGGCAATAACCGCGAAACCGGTCGTGTGCTTCCAGGGTAATTTTATTCAGTCATTCATATAATACTTATTGTAAAATTGAGAGTTATTTCTTGGTAAAAATACGGAAGATATTCTTGACATTCTCCTCCGATTATTTTGAACTGTACGCTCTGTCCACGCCATTATCGAGAAGAAAACAATCGTGATATTCCAGAGGGGCGCGAGGCGCAGGCAGGGGGGAGTGATCTCTGCATACCATCTGTTTGCACTGTTCAAGACCGACTGTGCCGATCGTGTCACAATCGTTTACGACTTTCCACATTTTAGATAGATGTCGCTCAGCAGATCTTCATTTTATTGAAATTTAACAACGAATACCGTAGCAGAATACACTTTTTGAATTCATAGTTCATATCTTCTTCAACAGGTATTGTGATTTTTCACCTCAGAGTGGAAAATAAGATTCGATTCGTCTTCTCTAAGGGTATTCAAAGTTATTTGTATTTATACTGATCGTTCTGAAAGTATTGTATGGTTCAAGTATGGTTCAATCAACGGCTTGTGGGGCTCTCAGTGAACGCTAAGACCAGGTGGCAAATTGTGTTTAGGCAAAGACGCACACCCAAAAACCCAATTAGTCATGTCATCAAGGTGGCTCAGAATTATCATTCGTACACACCTAATTAAGACTGTGCCGAAGTGAACCAAAGCATAAGGGGTAGTGAAGTCCACAAGTGGCGGCCACACTATCACCCTGTTCGATAACAGTATCAAGGACTTAGTGCCAGATCAGTTATCATTTATGATTGACATGATATTTCTGAATTAGTTGGTGGATACTACGGAATTTGGTCAGTCCGCACAGTACAGTAAATTTTGTGAGACATGTAAACTCAGTATTGTGAATTTAGGAGATCTTAATCTAATTGCATTTTTGTGAGGAAGAAATAGATCAAGAATATAACAAATAAACATGAATTTTATCAATTCAAAATATTTTACATGATACTCAAAGGACTGCAAACTAAATAAATATGTACGTTATATTATATTACTACGTTCAAATTAATAAATATAATTATTATGCTTGTGTTTTATGTATTCCTCATAGGCATTCAATAATTTTCACAATGTTTATCCTTTCGTTTCTAAGCGCTGCATCGGTGAGGAATAAATCCGTCCATCACTTTGCGCAGAGAATATCCACTGACCCAAACGGTTGATATAATCCAATAATTGTTGCTGTATGATAGGACCGAAGCGCTTAGCGGTTTCAGATATGAGTTGGTGGTGTTGATTCGCGACGAGGAATGAAAACATCGCCAAATGCGGTGGTTCTTTTAACTAATCGAACCTTCATATGGGCATTGAACTTTATCCCACCCTCCGCTTTCTTTTTGTGCTTTAGAATATGATTAAACACCAGCAGTAACGCTGGGCCTCAGAGAATAGACAGCTATGACTTTAAGGGCGAAATGTTGTATTCTGAGACCTGAAGAGCATTCCTAGACATCAATCTGGTGTATATAAGTAAAGGGTATCCGAAAACGCAGTTCACCAAAGATCGGAACAAGCATGAAAAAGGAGGAACGAATGGGCTTCCATTCACACTCATAACTTAATCAAATATGCTAAGTGATTATGAAGAAGCAGTATAGTCATCCACTGGTAGACAATGCGGCTTCCATGGGAAATAATAGATAATAGACACTCAGACGGACACATCGAGTGCATTGGTTTGCAACGCAGCCAATGAGAGCAGGCCAAGTCTGATTTGATCAAAAACCAAGGCTGCCTGGACGGTCTAAGAAGGTGTCAGATTGAATTTTATTGCTTTTCACTTTGGAGTGTGATATCAGTGGAATTTGGTGGCACGCAGTTATGGATGATGATAAATAGCCTTTCAACGCTTCAAAAATGTTACAATAAGTCTATACGGCACAGTCTTGTCGATCGCTGGCTATTTCATGGTGAGTTGTGAAATAGTCAATAAATATGTTGGTTACATTATTCACGTTAGTCACGCCAGTTGGTTATCAGCTATGAAAGCGAGCAGAAACCATGCATAACTCATCTATCGGCATTTCTCCACACCACTGCTCTGCGTACAGCCATATCGATAGTTGGAAATGACCCATCGAAATTTGCAAGATGTTAGACAACCCATCGATCAACCAGATTCAATACGTAAGAATTATTTAATAGCCGTTGTTCACAAAGAACCATTCTATCTTATTGGTTACTATTCAGGGAAGTACATAATGAGTAAATTTGACTGTCAACAGAATGTGCATGCATCAATTTTCAAATCCCTATAGAACAATTTGTGCAACAGGAAAAACTCATTTGAGTCACATGAGTGAATGCCGGTGTGACATTAGAGTCAAACAATAAGAACAATAAGCAGACGTGTCCTGAATGCATATCACATGGAACTAGTGATCCAATCGTATCAACAAGGAATGAGAATATCCGGACCACGAGACAATCCTTGAGTGAAGCAAATATATACAATGATGATCAGTACGAAAAAAGAAACCAAACATGTATAATTTATATAAAATTTACCAAGTAAATTTGGGCATCTTTTGTTTAAAACGAAGCACAGAGAAGAAATTGGCAAAAACAGTTTGTTAAAGTTTCGCCTTGTTCTTAAGGAACATTGAAGCTCACCTTTTTGATTTCTGCTAACCGCACCCATTGAGACATTTTTTCCTGTTAATCCAGAGTGAGCTTCAGATGGGGAACCGTTCGTATCGATAACATTCATGCCCGCACGTCCATTTAATTCCTTATGTTGGCCAGGCACGGCAAATGTGGCGTTCTCATAGGGACTGGCAGCATCTTGTGCTACAGGATTGATGTGAGCCATGGGTGAGCGGGGTGACGAAATGGGATAACGAGGACTGGGTGGATCCTGAGCGAATGTTCGATTCACACACGAAGCACTACCCAGTGGCACACCTGTCCCAGGAGATGCGGATGGAGCACCGCTTTCCGAATGTCGATTACCGGTTACGGAATGACAAAGTTCCAAGCCCTGTACATGAGTAACAAATATACAATAATGACAACCAGCCAATCGTTGCTGACACCAAATATATTGCACCATGAAAGAATTTAGGATACATCAAATATGAGTCAATCAACTGGTTGATCATTCAACCCAACAAATCCAGCTTCTAGACGTACCTCGAGGAAACATCAGGCAGTTCTTAGACACAAATGATCGGGTTCCACAAAGAGTTTCATTGACCAAACTTTATGCTATCCAAGTTTGATCTATAGTAACAATTAACACCACACCAGGAAACCAAATATATGCTGGGAACTCTCAAACGCTTCTCCACTCCTAACAAAATAGAATAAAAGAGCTTCTTGTCTCCCTCGTGAAACGAATAGCTTTATTGACACACTTGGCGTCACTATCTCACGCCGTTATTCAGGTTCATGAATGTTGTTCTTTTTTGCCCAGCAACCTCTATTTTATGCTATTGAACATTAGCATATCCACATTCGATAGACTAATTCCAGAATCGAATAATCCAAATTCCCGCAGAGCATTCGAAAACAAAAATGAAGCGTGCACTTCAAATAGTTAACAGATAATAAAATTTACGGTGATCCTCAAAAACCGGCATTTGCAGACAAGAAAAACGTGTCTACCGTACCTGAATATCACAATTGCTGACCCTGTCCGTATCCAAAACCGGATCGGAACAAGTGCACTTGGATGACGACCTTCATAGAAAAACGGGCACACACACGCATAGGCACAACCAGAAAACGGAAGCATCTGATGAGAACCAGAACTGAGAAAATTCTTTGCATGTTTTGCTACCTGGTTTCTCGTTCCTGGCCTGTGCGCCATTGCATGCCCAGTTTGATGCAAATTGTCGCTATTGGTTAAACTCGCGAACCGAAACACACCGATCGGGATGGATAACGTCACTGGAAAACTGGCACACATTCATCAGATATTGAAGTGACCAATCGGTGACCAACCGCTGAATGATACACAGATCTCTCTGATCCCTCACTCGTGCGCAGTAGGCACACAAGTCCCTATCCGATGGATTGGACAATTTATCATAAACAGCAATCACATCCGGTCACGCTGACGGAATTGAAGTGAAAGTATCTGTTTCAGAATTTGCTGGCACAGGTACAAGCGTACATGGTCTACAGTCAATGGATAAGCAGCCAAAAACATGAACACGAATGCACCTGAGAAGAATGTTTTGTCAGAGTTTAATAACATTATGAAAAGAAATGTTAGACACGTTTAGTCTATGCCCATCTAAGTTGGTTTCAAAACATTTTAGCCGCTTTCCTCTTCGTTTCTGTCCCATCAACCGAAAGGTGAACTTTTTAAATAACCGTTTAATCTAGCCCTAAACTCCGCGGGACCTTATTCCACCCCGTAAATCTGACGTTGAATCCGGTGGTTTATTTACGTACACCCTCTTTTTTGGCACTGTTTTCTAGTCAGCTTTAACAGTCTTCAAACAACCTACCCCAGGTTCACTTGAATTCTTTAGGATTATTTCGTTTTCAATTGAAATCTCATTCATGAACTCATCTAAGTTCAAAATTGGTCAACATTTGTGCTGATATGAAACTGACGCTTTTCNGCTGTTCTATAAACACTGAGTTTTTCAACTGCATGGGCCGCAGCCAGGCAAGTGCCTATGGACAAGCAAGCGCTCGGTCAACTTGTATTGCCTATTTTTGTCTCTCTCTCTCTCCCTCTGTTCATTGTCACATTTCAATTCAAAATATTATCTGCGATGAACTACTGAAAAGATGACTGCATTTTGGAGTTAAATAAACGTTTGCCCACGTTGATGCATCTACTGGAACAGCTTAATGCTGCATCGTTAACACCGAAATCGAACAAATTGTACCGTGATAAGCTATTACATAAAGATCCCTTCCCGAGGATGAATGAATCACGTGCTATTGTTATTCTTCGTATGCTTCGTCGCATCTTCGTCGTGGTCTTCTTCACTGATATTGTTGTGCGCGGTGGACAAATAGTACAGAACTCCACGTAACCACCGAGCTTTACACCACCCTCTCGACAAAAGAAACCGGTTAGATTTTCCAACACACTGAAGTTACGCTTCAAACAGGCTTCTGGGATAAAATTCCACAAATCAATTTCATGCCCATCAAAATTTCAAGTTGACTTCATAATCGAACGAGCATTTTTCTCGTCAGACACCTGATGAAGTCTGCACATTGTAGGACAGCACATTTTTTCAATCAGTCTTCGATGAATTCTCCATAATCTGAAAGATGGTCAGGCATTTTGATAGTTTCTTGTTTTGTATGACGAGATGCGTGCATTTGTCACTAACTCAGGATTGTTGCTCCGACCTTCCACAAACAAAACGCTAAGAAACTGGCGGAAAAGTAACAGCATCACGGGAGAGGACTAAACACATTTATGTAAAACGCTGAATTATGTCATAATAGGGAGCTTGGATTGGGGTGATTGATTTATCACACGAAATCAGCTTTCGTCATCACCATGCGTAAAATGATGCCAAATAACTAGCTACCAAATGAATGCGAAGAACAAAATATGATGTGACAAATTTTACTTTACATGGGTCATGGTCGTCTTCATGTATAATACAAACCTATCCCACCTCGTTTCATATTCCACTTCTTCCGGCCTTAATCTTAATCCTGAAAAATGCCTTGAATGTATTTTCACTCTGAACCGTACCCCATCTCCTTTGGACAATGTTCAGATTCATGGAAAGTCGATGATCAGGATCAGCCATGTGAAGTACTTAGGTGTCACACTTAAAAGTAACCTTCGCTGGTCCTTACATACCCAAAGTATTGCTCGCAAGTTGAAAAGGCTCTCTTTTCAGATAATAAGACTGCGTCAATTCTGTTCTGACTCGTCGATGATAAACACTTTCATTCAACAATGTGTCCTTCCTATACCCTTTTATTGCTCGCCTGTAATTTCCCCTGGTTTGTTGAAGGCTGATTTCAAGTTGCTGAGGCGTGGCCTCTCAGTGATCAGCCGTGTCTCCCAAGTTCTGTTCTGATTGGCAATATATGTAATGCCCATATTGATGCATGCTTAAAGTTTGCTGACAATATCCTATCTGATTGCACTCATCCTCTACACACTGACTTGTGTGCATGCAAATCCCACCCCTGCACTCGTTTCAAGTACAAACTTATCCCCTCTCGCATATCCGCATACAGAAACTCTTTGATACCCTATCTTGCCAGGATACTGACTGACAAGTAAAGTGTTCGCTCTGAGCTTTCTAATGCATTTGGTAATTAACTTATACCTTTGTACGTTTTCACATCCCAATTTTCCCCCTGCTTTTACCAGAATTGTAATGGTGGTCTATTTTATGGCTGAAAGCTTGTATATATAACTCGCTAAAGCTTGAATACAATACAATACAATACGAGGATGAGATATGGGGCAAAAGGTTTCTTTGGACTATTCCTTCATTTATAACTCACTTTCAGAACTTTAGGTTTTTACTAACTCAGAATAATGCCCTTCAATTTCATGAGAGGATAAAACCGAGGAGTTGAGAGGATAACATTAAATCTGAGGTATCTATCACAGCGTATATGCGTGTTGATCATTACATTCTCAGTTCTGTGCTTCTGGGAGTTTCGGTTACGTCTAGTTTGTCGTATGGCCCAGTCCCGAGGGATCAGTGTTATTGTGATAATATGTATGTGTTTGTAGGGATAGTGGGTTGGGGTGGGTTCGTGAACTGAGGTGAAATGGACAGCCTAGGCACATAGTTCAGGGATAAGGTGTTGATATAACTTCGGTTATATCCAAAGTACGAATTCTAACATATTTAGACCGATTCAGGGGAACCTGTGGAATGCTTTACTTCGGTTGGTCAATGCCTACCAAGTGGGTGAGAGTCGCACTTAATATAGATTCGGAACCATCTTAACTCAGTCAGCGTGCATAGTGTCCTCGCATGCGGCTGCCGTACGACTGACGTAGAGTGCGTCACAAACGCATCTGAACAAGTAATTAATCGCGGTGAATAAAATGAGTAAAATGATCCAGATACATCCTTAAATGAAGTTAAATCTATCTGGAGGGCCGCATCATCACTCAATTTTCATAAGTCTTTGACTGAAATACTTTTGATCATCGACTAAAATAGCCTTCGGATTGATAATTAAGTTCGCATTCAAGCAATTCTTTGATGGTACGAAATTACAGTCGGGTGGTTCGACGGTTATTGAATAGTCCAAGTACTTATCATAACGCCAAAGCATTACCTCCCTGTGAAAATTCAATGTTTCGTGCAAATGAAATACTGGACGTTGAACGCACTTACATTTTTGTTTGTTAGCTAGATTACAGGACGTGTTCAAGCATTTTTATTGCACACTTATTTGTTTAAAATCACATTTGTTGTTTGGCTTTATTAGTGTGATGAACATCAGACGGGATCAACCCCATAGTCACGAGGACCTGCTGTTCAGTGGTACAAGCCGGTAACCTAGGCCCCGGGACATGGAGTGGCAAACCACATAAGACCCCGATAGGCTAGACGTAGTATTGCAGCGGACAACAGCAAAGCTGTCTACCACCAAATTTGGATGAAGGTGGCAGGGCTCAAACCTCGGATCATGGGGTTCAAAACGCGTCGGTGACAAGGATTAAACCACTGTAACACCACCATCTCAGGAGCCGTTATACTTCACGGCTCTAAAGGTCCATATAAATGAGAGCAGTTTTCAGCAGGCGTAGCAAAAGCTGCTTCTAGGTAAGTCAACCATTTTGGTGAATCCGCTCTCTTGATACAAATTATACTGCACACTTAGAATACTTGTCCATCGTCAACGAAATTGCTCTATAGGCGTAAGCCAAAACGGATACATAATTAAATTGGTCAGCTATTCGATTGCAGAGATAATTGGTTTATCTACGCGGCACCGAAACAACATCTAGGTTTTTCTTGAGACAATGTGGATAAAATCAAAAATACCTGGTGATAACTACAAATCTAACAGGGT